TATATGTATATACATATATATATATATATATATATATATATATATATATATATATTATATGTATATATATATACGTATACATACATATACATATATAATTATAAAATTATTTTATATATGGCCTTATAAACATTGCAGGTTAATATTCAACTCTGTCTCATTTTGAACAGTAATCCAAATAACAAAAAGTTTTAAACTTTTAAGAATAAACAACCGGAAAATATATATTTATATATCTAATATACGCAGACAAAAGGTAATATCTTTATGCTTAGAGAATCGGAAAAATCATCAAGGAAGACACACGAGACAAATAATCATTACTAATATCAACTATTTTCTGTGAAAAATTATACACCGTTACTATTTGACTCGATAGGATATTCTGTAATAAGCTCTGGAAATAGTTCCAAATTGACACATTTCACAACATTACTAGTATTTTAATCTAGAATATGTAAATAAATTGTAATGCAACAGGCCGTATAAACTGCAAATGTTGTACCAAAATGTGTTCGAAGATGACTAGGCTGCCAATGGCACGGATGGATATATCAGCAATAGTATAACGTCTGTACAACTTACATACTTTGCGTTACGTTTACGCTTGAATAAAAATAGAAATATATCGTCATAGCTACGGCTCTCTGTACATAATTTTACACGCCTAATCATTTAATGTCTCTTATTCTCTTGAAAGAGTTAAGAATATAGTAATAAAACGGATTTAAAGTTAATTAAAAAATAAATGTTAACAGAACAATGCTGATTCATGCGCAAACAGAAGCTTGTAAAAATACTTTTATAAAACACAGTTCGGATATACATAATTATTTTTTTTCTATAGCATTTAACACAATCTGGTAGTGAATTTAATTTTTAAAAAATCCATTATTTAGGATTTTACTTATTTGTGTACTACAGATACGTGTTTATAATGTACATGGTTTCATTTATAAAGTAATGTAAATGAATAAGACATATTACATAATATACTACATGTAAGTCGGTGTGTGATGTGGGGATTGATTATGCAATTATTTACTACAGGCATATATGCTTATGTGTATGTATACATAACGTACTGTATGCGTCTCTGCATACGTCATATCTAATACATATACACAATATTTTAAAGCCACAATGTGTGATTTATGACGTAACATTAAGTCATTTGTGGAGATATAGGCCTACAAGCCGTTATCAAATTAGTGTCTAGACAAATAATAGGGGCGCCCTTTTCAATATGTGTTTAAGGAATAGGGCCTATAACCCATATATGATTATAGATAAGCCCTGATTTTTAAAGTATTTTGTAGTGTCAAGCTGTAATCTTCACATCTCCCTCCCAACAATAACTAGCGTATATTCAACAATGCGTAGAATTACATTGAAGCTGATACCGTACTTTCAATACTCGAGCGACACATACGTGCTCTATTAGAACTATGAGTAATGTAGCAATAATAAAGTTCGGTCTTCGCATTCGTGTTTATACCACTTAAATTTGTATATTTAGATTTATAATAAGTTACTTTCATGGCGGCAAGTATTTATAAATCGTACCATTGATGGTCATACCTAAGAAGCACTTAAATCTACATCTTACTTGCATCAAGAACGAAACCGAGAAAGACGTTTCAATTCGAACTCTTTCCTTATAGATACACACGTAGCTTTTATCAACCCCAATCTTAATCTAGATTCTTTCGATTATTTACAAGGGGTGTTAACATAATTGACCTGACGAAAATTTTGAGCAGAAATCATAAAATATCACATATATACAATTGTTTTTAATTATCTTCTTTATAAACACTTCTAACTATTATACTTCCAACACTATACCTCGCATTAAATCTAGGAAATCCTTCATATTTGCAAACTTATTTGACATTACTTATGTAGATAAACTATATTCAAACTCATAATATTTGTAGAGGGTGGATTTCAAATCCATCAGAAAGTTCAAGGTATATAATAATAAAAATTATAATAACATAATAATAAAATATTCAAAAACAATGCAGTCTCGTATATGTTCAGTTTAGCATAAGGTTGATCGAAAACATTATAGATTAATTTATATCGAGCTTTTATGAATGTGAATGTAGGCTATAGGCCTACCGGTATACTTTAAATAATAGAGATTTTGATTAATTGCTTTTATGATTTCAACAATTCCATGCAAAACAAAATAATGTATATTTACCATAAAACAAAATAATGTATATTTACCATAACACACAATTATAATATTAAAGCCATCATCGAAATTCAAGTAGTTTCATAAAATTTTGAATTACATTAAGCGAGTTGTTTGATAAGACGGAGGGGTAATGAAAATCGCTTCCACACAATAGGATATAAGAACGAGACTTTTCCAAATAACAAGGCCAACGCTAATGAAGCACACGCGTGTTTCTATCATGCATGCTTAATACTACTCTGGTTCCCACATGATTCGTTTTCGGAGTCTTGTAGCATTGCATTCCGTGGCGCAATTCACTAACACTCAGTCATGAAAGACTGGAATATTAAAATAATCAATTAACAGTTTTAAATAAACCCTGTCAATAAAATAATATATTAGGTCAGCACAGCAAGTGTACTGTATACCTCACATCATCGCAACATTTAATAAAATATTTCAACAATCCACCGATGGCATGATCTCAATGGATGACCGCTATTAGCTGTCCTTATACAATACATTTGAAGAGCCATTTGACAAGCATTACCATATAAGGTATTTCTGGAATAACCTCACCATGTCAAGTTGCATTACGTGTAACATCTCTTTCGCTATAGTGGTTCAATTTATTGTGCGATTAAAATTAATAACACAATTTATGCGGGCGACAACGTTCGAGTAAGTACAGCAAGAAGGGTGCTTCTCGTATATTGGCATTAATTGTCTTATTCTTGCAGATATCTGGACGGAGTCCATCTGAAACTCTGTGTCGCTTGACAAGCGTTATCAACACCACCTCATCTGAAGGAGTTCATCGGTATTGTGCTTTTATGATACTATATTCTGGATGGCAATACAACAAACGTAAACAAAACCGAAAAACATAATCACTAAACATAATTAAAATTCATCAATCGTTATGATTTCAAACGAGCGTGTTCTTTCCTGACATATCCAGAAATGGTGGCATTACTTCGGAGAACTTGGATATCCTTTCGTAGATTTCCTTTATTGGTAACCTGTCTTGGGGCTTCCTCTCCCAACATCCTTTGACAATTTCGAAGATTTCTTTGGGACAGGCCTTTGGACATTCGAGTTGTTGATTACTAAGTATCTTCTCTATAACCTAACAAAATTGAGAAAAGGCGAATTAATAAAATCAGCATAAATTTAGAAATGTACAAAACAGTACCGGTGTATGTTTGTTTGTGTATTTTTTTTTAAAAATGTGAATAACATTTTAGTTGTATTTTAAAGAAAAATTCAACTATTTTAACAAGACGTTAAATAACATGACAGAGTAAGTTTACTTACCTCCACGTTTGAGAGTCCAAACCACGGTTGCTTTCCATATTCAAATATCTCCCAAAGTACAACTCCGTAACTCCATACATCACTCTCTATCGTGTTCGTTCGGTAATTGATACTCTCCGGTGGCATCCATCGCACAGGCAACATAGTCTGTCCACCAATCTGAATATGTAAATAAAAATATATATTAACAAAGGTATGAATAGATAAATAAATAAATATTTTAATTTAAATAATATAATAAAAATAACAGATCATTAATTAAATCATGTTTAGTTTTAAATAAACTAACAGAGAACTCTGAAGATAACAATTGACACTATGGATCAGCTATACGAGAAACTTTCAATTCCTATATAAATGAAATATATGCAGAGTCTACGCAAGATAAATATATTTCAAGGCGCTACATATACACTACGAGTAAGTTGAAAACTCACCCTATAATAATCCGTACTATATACATCACGCGACATGCCAAAGTCAGCTATCTTCACCACCAGACGCTCACCGACAAGGCAGTTACGTGTAGCCATATCACGATGCACAAAATGTTGCGATGCCATATAAACCATTCCAGACGCAATCTGTTTAGCAATGTAAAGTAACTCATTGTACGTCAAGGGAAGAAGGGACACTTCATCCTTCGTCAAACAATCGGCATCAGGGCCTCGGCATCTACAAAAACACACAGAATACAAATAAATATCTTAATTTGGTATCATCATTCAAATTATTTAATCGTACTCATTATTGCATCAACTTACAAGACAATTGGCACGTAGAGGCATAAAGTGGTGAAACTCTCGGCGTTTAACGACGACGGAAAGCGTTTATGATGATTATGTCATGATGATGATTATTAGTTTGAGCGAACAGCCATTTTGTCATTTATTGAGTGTATTTAGATATATCTACTTTTTATTATATAATACGAGCTAAAGTTATGTTACCGCTGTAATCTACTGCGACCTCCGTCAGTGTTAAGAACAAGCATCTTACAGGACAACTGCAACAAGTAAAGTTACCAAATATAATAAAAATACATTCAAAATCCACAGACCTCAGATAGTTGTTGAGGTCACCATTCTCCATGTACTCAAACACCATCAAAAATGGTTCCTTCTCCATACAAACACCATAAAACGTTACAATATTATCGTGCTGAAGATTTGCTAATAGCTCGGCTTCCCGCTCGAAATCCTTGCGTGCGTCACCACGCGCAGCGTCCTTCAGACGTTTGACAGCAACACGAGTGTCATTTAAGGGGTCGTTCACACATTTGTAAGTTCCCAGGTAGACGAGACCAAAAGCGCCTTCACCAAGTGCTTTCATAAAATGGATCTTGTTTCTATCAATATGGTGAGTTTCTAAACAAAATAGAATAAGAAATTAAATAAATAGTGTTTAATTAGCAGGACGGGAAGCGATGACCTGATACAGAAGAATGAGGTTAAAAACACAAGCAAGGAGGCCAAAATTTTCTTAAAGGAAACATTAGATTGTATTGGCCGAGTAATTTTCACGTACAAGAGGGAGAGCCAGAAAGAGATGGACTGCATCAGACCAGATGAAAGAATGGTGGACCCAGAAGCAGTGGTGGATCGTACCAGATGGAGGAAAATAATGAGGCCCCACCACCATGAGGGGTCAAACGGGATGATATTGATTAGTACGTTTCACGACCATTATAAGTAAAACGGTTGAAATGGGATTTTCGCAAATGAATATTGTTTATATGTAAAAGTTTAACATGACAAAATGAACATAGGCCTAGTTGAGTATAGAGTCCAACAGCTACTCGCGAATTACCGAATGAAACAATGCTATGTTCTATTAATCTTAGTGCTATTATGGGGCTTAATAGAGATTTGCGGTTAGCCATGAGAAAAATCCTGAAATTCATAAGATTTGAACCCAGGCCCTGGGGACTTAAGGCGTGTTAACTACCAAGCAATAATCATAAATTTACAATTAATAAACCCCTTTAATGATAATAATATGGACATCTTTAGAATCCCAACTCCCTATGATTATTCTAGTAACTTAATTAAAATACACAAACACTAACGGCTTACTAATGACAAGCACGTTACCTTCTGTGGGTTTAATATACAGTATTTTTGTGTTCATGTTTTGATGGGGATTACATGATATTGTTAGTCATTTAATAGATTAGAAAAGATTCAAGCTAATCCCTTATTATCAAGTAGAAAAACAACACAGGTCTGCTTCATTTCGCCCACGTATACAGCCAACAAAAGACGATAACATGATGTCGAGTAGGCCTATTAATATTGTTAATCATATTAAGTGGCTTCTTTGGCGCATTTAGGTGCCAAGAACGCACCGAAAAGAGTGGTTACTTACGTATTCCATTAAGGTAGTTGGGATTTTCAACCATTGGTAGTGTCGGTGCATGCGGTCTTAAAGGATCCAGAACCTCGCCGTTTTCGAAAGGAAGATGTCTACTTCTTTTTTTGTGTCGAGACTTTATTACACAGACTAACGCGAAGACGAAGGCAGCAGCTAATATAGCCGGCACAATTACATACGGCTTGAAAAGTAAATAAAGTGCAAATGTGGTTAGAACTTTTGTCGAGGTTTTGAGATGCAGTATTTACAGAGAACGATACTATCACAAAAGGGGAACAAACCGTACCGCGAAAAATAACCGTTTAAACCTAAATATTAACAGTGAATGGCAATTCTAAAAAGGTTCAAACCAAATTACAGCTTTTTAATATTAATCTTTTATTACGGTATCTGTTTTCAGTTAAAAATAAGACGGATACGATTTTTAATAAGAGGGCCGACATGTTCTTACAATAAATGATGTTAACCCATACCTTCCGTCATATATTTATAGTTAATATAAAATATTAAAATGTTCGAAGGTTTTTAAAAAATAAGATATTTCCATGCAGAGAATTTTTATCTATATTAGATTAGCCATATGATTATTAGAAGAAACCCAATAAAGAAGAAAATTAGAAACCATAGAAACTGTCATAGGATTTGTGTCCAAAAAGTAGTTATTAATTAAGGTATATACTAATGAAACACGTGTTATCCTACAAACACCATTTAACAATAGCTAAGTGAAAAAAGCATGCATAACATGAAATTAATTCATATAAATAAAGCCTATCGTTAATCAATATTTTGGAGGAACACCAAACACAACATTTTAATGTATTTTGCTGTGTTTGCTGTTTCCTGTTTACATTAAATATATAAACAGGGCCTACACTTAGCTTATGTTATTTTCGAGGAAACAACAAACAGAGCAAAATGCAGTATGATGAGTAAGTAGTAAAAAGTAAATCTATCTAGACAAGAACAAAGTTATTTCAGTTAAAACATGCGGTCAGAAGTGATGTGTTAAATACACGCACCTTGAAAGAAATACCGCAATCGTTTTTCAAGTTGTGAACTCCTTCTTGCTTTAGTAATATCAGTTATCTAATTTTCTAGTTAGAGTTTGCGGTAAACCATGTGGTAAAGAGATGGTGACTAAGTAACCAACTAAAAAATTCCGAAAAGTTTGAAACAACAATTGTAGATATCATCTCTTGACAATATGGTATACCGCAGTTGATTTTTATTTTAAAGAATAGAAATTTTAGTTTTGTTTCTCCTGCAAAATACCATATTTGAGGTGCTGGAAGCATAAATTCACTTACTGCAATCTGAGTCGCATTAGTTGGAACAGCAAGCGGTGTGACACGAGTATTGGGCAGACTTAGGCCTATTGTAGGATCTAGACAGGTGAAATCCGAAACAAACGCAAACAACAACACAAATAATAATAATGATGATAATTTTCATTCAAAATATATACAAACGGTCAGAAAAAAATACAGGAATCACAACATCTATTAAGCATTAGAATGAATACAATGCGCAGATTTACAGCCAACTTGTTTTAAGACAACATACATGCACAATGAAACATGCAAATGACCCAACACGTGATTTGTTGCACCTGTAAAGTAGATACTTACTACTGTTAGCGAACCTTTTGGATCATACACAGTTATAGGAGTTTTATATGTCGGCAAAACAGTGCTGTTAACTGGAACAAATTCTGGGCCTAAGTACCAGAAATTAAGTTTATAATAATGAGGTGGTCCGGAAAAGCAAATGCTAAAGAGACAGTTAATTTACATTGGCACAAGGGGTAATGGCCGAGCAAGTGACGTAGACGCATGTGATACCCTGATACCAGCTAAGCTACTGATGAAGCTGAGAGATGAAATTATTTTTAATTGAGTTTGTGGTTTCTTGTTCACTTGCGAATCAGTAAAGCCAGTGACGTTGATGACATTTAAAGTGTTGTGGTAAACATTTCCAATAAGACAATGACGGTGGACTTGATCAACTTGATTATAAAATTAAAAGGTTACTAATAATGGTGATAATGATAATGATGACAGATGCTGATGATGATCATGACGGCATTATTATGATTGTGATATTGATGATAATGAGGATGATGATGATGACGATTATGATGATGATGATTGCCATGATTATGATGAGGATGACTACTTTGATGACGATGAATCAACGATGTGGAGATGTGGATTTTGGTAGGCCTAATGATGATGATGTTGGTTATATCAATGCCAACAGAATTAAGATCACTGGAATGACGATCGTGTGGATCGGACAACCATAATTGCAAAGTTTTTCGATTACAGATAATGCTGTTGCTAACTGTTTTTTAAAATTAATATAACAAAAAAATGTAACACTGCCATATTGTCTATATGCAACAGCATAAGCGGATGGTTTCGTCTGTAGTTACTTGTATAACAATTACAAAAACGAGAACTAGAGCTAGTTGGTACTACTTCGCCACAAGCTTTTCTGCTATAAATACCAAGCCCCTGTACAACCGAAAACTATTATATCAAGCATTCTGCTTGGCATATATAACGCATATTACAATAAGTCATCAGTTATAGCATTCTGAATGAAACGAAAATCATATAGTGTGGTTTTCATGTAAGTTTTTCCATGCTTCAATATTCTTTGTACTTTTTCGCTCATTGATTTAGGTCTTTTGCATTACATTATTTTAATTAAAAATATTTGGCATTTGGAATATTTCTTATTTTGCATAAAATTATATATAATATATATATAATATATATGTATATAAGTATATATATGTACATAAGTGTGTGTGTATATATATGTATATAAGTATATATATATATATATGTATATATATATTATATATATTATATATATTTGTTAGTTTGTNNATGAAGAAGGCGTGTCCACGTGTGTTTCGAAACATATGTAGAATATAATATAACGTACCGGTAACAATAATGAAACTCAATTACGTAAGAAGTTGACTTTAGAAACACTAAAGTTTATTTGTCGAATATTTCGGCTACTCCTGTAGTCTTTTCCGTAAAGCCTACAGGAGTAGCCGAAATATCCGACAAATAAATTTTATTGTTTCTAAAGTCAACATCTTACGTATTTGAGTTCCATTACTGTTACGTTATATTATATTATATATATATATATATATATATATATATATAGATCAATAAATATCGTTTATTGATTAACAGCTTACCCGGATCGACCACCAACGTGACGTTATACAGAGTCGCGTTATCCGTTCCAAACTTGTTCTTGATAATCAGTGTATAGTTGCCGTTATTGGCGTGCGAACAACGAACAAAATATACGGAGCCGTTGAAGCTTGTTCGTGTAGGGGAAAAAGTGTTATCTCCGCTTTTCAAAAAGCTTCCTTCTGTATCAATCCGCTGTTTTTCACCGTCGTGGTAAATCTCAATTTCTGGCATAGGAATACCAGAAATATTGAAAACCAATGTCTTGTAGAAAATCTCCTCTTCCAAAATCACATAATAGTCGTTAATCTTGGGAGGAACTGGAAAATAAATTATTTATTTGTTTAAAATGATACTTATTTAACTAAAGAATGCCAATAATTCCCTGGACTAGGCTTTCACAAATGAAACCAGGTACCAACATGAATATCATTCTAATCAGTCAATCATCAATACAGTGAAAACATTTTGAAAACACTAATAAACGTAATAGGCCAAATAGTAATGATGACGATGATGACGACGATAATGAAGATGATGACGATTATCATCATGCTAATGAAGATGATAAGGATGATGATGATGAGGATAATGAGGATGGTGATAATGATAATGATTTAAATGATTATGATATAATACTGTTATACACCTATTATACAAATATGTATTATCATGAGGGAACATATTCTAAACTAGATCTACAAAATGCATTCATAGAAATATAATTCTTGGGACATGATTAAGACTAATTATGTCTTCTTATTCACTATACGTGACACGTAATGACGTCACATCTAGTATTAAGAGTAATGCGTTTGATTGGAATGTCTCGGTTGAATATCTACAGTTCTACGACATTGTAAATGTGTCTGAATTGACGCTATAGATTGACATAGAGCATTATGGTAAAGATTAAACCTCTGTTTCATATTTAATTATGACGACTTAGAAGATGAATTCAAAATCTTTCAAATGGTTTCAACGCAGCTAGCTATTTTTTAATTCTTCAGTTATTATCAGACGACGTAATTAAAAAGTCAGTGGACCGGTGACGTGAGTGTATCCAAGTCAGTGTAATGCAAAACTGAACCTGTATTCAAGAAACGCGTCTAATCGTTCCCGATTGACCAATTACAATCTATAAACAGAATTTCTCTCCCTGGTTCCAAAAATATCCTCATACGAATGTAACCAGACACGGAAAAAAAACCAAACAAACTTGGTACAATGTGTATTTTCTCGCGTTCGGCTAAATAAAATCTGTATCTTGAGTTATGGGTTTATTACACAAAAAGTAACTTTATCTGTTATTTCCATCGGTTGAGTTATTGAGATAACCTACTGCAATCCGGAATAAAGACATCTTTATGTACATGTAGCCTACTACTCTAGCATGTTGGAAGTTACTATTAATTACTATATTTTGAATGAAACGATAACACGGAAGATAACTCAATCGGTCTTACATTAAAAAAATAAATAACTATAGTTTCTAACATAAGTAAAACGTAAAAATGTGTATTTGTAGGACATGCGCGTATTCCTAGTACTATTCTGACTGGTCAGTTGTTAAGACTGGAACTCCGGTAAAGTTAATCATCAATGTAGTAGTAATAATAATAATAATGACTTTATTGAATTGTACACTTTTATATCAGTGGCACACACTATCAAGTGGTGCGTTCACAATAAAAACATTCAAACAACACAGTACATTCGTACCGGTACACTAAAACACTGTATAGGATAAACACGTAGGCCTACAACACAAGAAAAACAGTAAAATGAAAATTATTTAAGTTCAATTCAGCATTGAAAAGAGCATTAAAATAATAAAATTTCAAATTATGGCAGAGAAATGTTTGAATTATTTATTTAAAAGACGAATATGCACACCGGAAATAAAAGAGTAATTACTGTTTACTGTAGTACAAACGCGATTATAATTAATACAATCAATGCAACACAGAAACGTTATACTTCTTGTATAACAAATCCGGCATTACTCGTGAATTAAACAGGAAATTGCAATTTACAGTTTTGGCCTGAAACAACAGAATCATGTCGATTTTTAAATGTTCATAGAAAGTTTAAATCTGGAATCACAACAAATTATTTTCTGAACTGAACCACTTATTTCTCTCTGTCTAATATCACATGCGTCTTTATCATGATGTCCTGCAACGTGGAAAATACCGCCTTTCCGTTAATGCTGGAATAAGCGCCGCGGCGCTTATAAAATATTTGGGTTTTTCAGTGCGGCGCTTATTCGAGAGCGGCGCTTAAAAAAAATATTGGCGTAGCCCTTTCCAATTTTACCTACACGTCTTCCCGTAGTTCTGTGGCCTATAAGTTCTACTTCATATTAAATACTTGTTAATAAAGAAATGCTTGTGTCTTCATTGTGTTATTTATTCATTTTAACATTGTATACATTGTATATAAAACTTTTGTTTCCCAGTGTTTTATTACACAGGATAAAATATACTCTCGATTGAGCACCGCGGCGCTTATTCGAGAGCGGAGCTTAACGAAAAAATCAGGGTTGGTGGGACGCTTATTCGAGCACTTACGTTAATCGTAAGGAAATCTATCGTTCATATCAATAGAGGGCGGTATTGTATTGTTTTCTTTTTATCAGAAATTACTTTTACTAATAAATAAGTCGCTTACATATATATACACAACACAATTACTGCTAATGTCACAAAAAACAAGTCTACATAAATTAATTAAATAATGTTTACTTACACTGCACAGTGAAATTAACAATTTGTACGTCATTTCCTGCTTCGTTGCTAGCCTCGCATAATACTTTACCATTGTCATTTCGATGTGCACTGTGAACACGAAGTTTCTTGCCATTCTCTATGTCAACGATGGTATGATTGTAAGGGGTAAACAACCATTTAACCGTCGGTGGTGGGGAGCCACTGGCCACGCAGTCGATTTCAATTTGCTGAGTTTCTTGCAGAACAACCGTCTTTTCCGTTACATTAACAGTAGGTAAAGCTATGATAAAAGTATACAACCATATACATTTATATGCATTTCAAAAAGGTCATCTTGTATCTTCTCCTATATTCGTGTTTTTTATGAATAAAAATCATATTATACACACAGATATTACCAAATAGACGGTGTAACAGCAGACGTGCAATAAATCTGAATAAAATCACAACTGATTTCAACGAGACCATTTAGGCTACGCCTAACTGTCTTATTATAAAACTTCTTGACACAAACATGTTTCAGCAGTGCAACTGCAATCTTCAATGTAACAATGCTTTCAAGCAAATTCTAGTAGGCCTATTTATAGTAGTGAATAAATGCGATGTATATACAGATATTTAACACTATTATGGTGTTTACACTACAAACATTTAGAACTTACTGCAATTTTGGAACGCAATATCAATAAGTTTGACTTTCTGCTCTTTCGCGGCGTCTCCTACTTCAGTCCAACACATGAGCTCTTTATCCACTTTACCTTCGTGCATCAACTCCTGGAGCCACCGGTGGTTACATTGGCCACATTTTAGAGGATTGTCCTTCAATGTTCTAAAAAATAGAATAGCATCCACTTGGATTAACAAGTTCAAGCGTTTCAACGTTTCGTTATAGACCATTCAAACCTATTCTGCAGATAGGCCTATTCATTACCCGCCCCCTTTGATTCATTGTATCGAAATTCAGAATATATATATATATAT